TTTTTATTTCTTTTGATTCTTATCGTCCTCACCATGTGTAAGTATGTATTTTTTTATTAAAAAATGTCTCATTCAATTGTTCAAGATATCATATTTATTTAATTAAAGTTGCCATTTCATTTATCTCTTTACTATTTGGTGATTTAAAAAAAAAAAAAATAAGGCCTTCAAATCCACTCTTAGTGAAATATAACTTGCAAATATCCTAATATTTCTATAAAAGTTTCAAAACTTTTATATTTTAACTCAATATAAGAGTTTACATTAATAAACAAATTTTAACTATAATCATGCCTCTATAGTCTCTTTTTAAGATTTTTTATGTCAATTCATAAATACTTATATTAATCTATTTTATCATGGACACTATTAATAATTTTTTATTACTATGAACAAAACCATTTTCATCACCCAAATGGATTAAATAGCATTCTTTTTGCTATTATAAAAGTTTTTAAATTCATAAGATCTTTGAATCACTTATAGCTTCCAAAGTAAATGTACTTTGAAGTTTTCACTATATAAAACTATAGATGATAAATCATTTATACAATCTATGAATTAGACCATATATATAATGAAAAATTACCACAACGTGATCAAGATTATGACAACAATTTTGGCTTATGACTATTCTAAGCCAACCATAATAATCCATATCATACCTATAAATCATGTAAATTTGGCTATTGAAGTTATCTCATTTATAATGATGGCTTTTAGTGAAAACCAATTGTTTTAAATGTTATCATGAGTTTTCAATGCATATATTAATTGTCCAATAGCCAATCCTAAGTTCACAACTATTAAAACCTCTAAACTTGATTTTAAAATTTTATGATAACTTTATTTCTCCACCATTATGCAACCTATATATCTCTATTATTTAACACCTTTAATTAGTCATAACATTTTTGGATAAATAATAAAATTAAACTTTACTCATAGGACTAATATGCCTATATACAATAAGAGTCCATAGTATATTTAACTCTAATTTCAAATACTTTCATAATCATTTATCATTAATATGTTTATATCTAGATCACCATAAATGAAACACAAATCCAAATAATCATTTTCCTAAAATAGTATAAACAATAATTATAATATGAGTTTTACTCATATTTCATGCAAAAATTCGTGATGAATTTGCGTTGCTTAAATCATTGATTGGCTAACTTTAAAACTTACGACTTTCATAAACCAATATTATTATCTAAATCCACATGTTAATATGGTGTATAACCAGTCACATCCTTGCCATTGTCATGAAACTATTGAAAACCTAAAAAACTTGTTCATTTTTCATTTTAATAGCCTATAAAAGGCTATTTTTTCGGGTATAAGAAGTGAAAATATCTTCATTGTCTTTAACTAATAATGTATTAATTGGATGATAGCATTCTATCTCCATAGTCCATATCTTTTTTATATGTATAAAAAAGAAAATTCTATTTAGTTCATTTTTGTAATATATGGCAAACAATACCAATGTTTTCCATGCCATCACGAAATAAAATTAAACACATACATGTATTGGTGCTTTTGGAACATTGACTTTGTATGTTCTTTTCTAATTTATAAACATGGCTAATTAGACATTGATGAGCCTCTTTCAAAATGCTAGTAATTGACAAATGCTTCAATATTTTCAATTACATGCCTTTTCATTTAATCAATATCCCATATGCCAAAAACAACAATGCATTTTTATAACCATTGATTAACTCTTTAATGGTTATTTATGATTTTTACTTTGTGATTGTTCACAATAAAATCTTATTTTGTACAATCACTTCTAGTATAATACACCTAGCAGGTAAAATACATGTCACACTGACTATGTTTATGATAATAAAAATTATTTGATTTATTATCCACCAATTAATCCCTGAAACACCATATCTTAATAATAATTATTCACATGCATCAATTTAATTTTAATTAGTTTTCATGAAAATTGAACACTGGTTAAAATTTGAACCAATAATAAATTTTAAAAAAATAATAATATTTGATTTATAAACGATCAACAAAGATAGAACCATACAAATAGCTTGACTCAATTTATTATTTCAATTTTGGTGCCATGATTTAATAATAAAACTAATCTTGTAGTCAAATATTATTTTTTGCATTATTCTCTACTTACATCTAATTTCTCATGGTAAATTCCTTTACCCATTTCAAATTGTTTCATAGAAACCATTGAACAATTTGCTTATTCTATATATAACCAAAACATAACAATTAAACAATTGGTCATTTTATTAAAATCCAATTTAACTCGTTACTTGATAACAAGTGATAATTCTTTTGATTAGATAACAATTCATGTTTTTTTCTTTTATGTTTTCAAGTTATTTCCTATCCAAATCTTTATAAGTATCGATTTTTCAAATATATATATATATATATATTACAATTCATTAAATACAATTATGAAGTCAATTTCAATATATACATAAACTTATGCAATGTAATCAATATTTTACATATTATGTTTTAACTTTACACACTAATGAGATAAATTGTTAAAATGTTTATCTCATTCAGTCAATCTTTTTACCAATAATTATGTAAAAAAAAAAAACATACCTCTAATGAAGATCTTTATGAAAATTAACATTTTAGTCTATAGAAACATTAATCCTTTGACACTTTGAGCTTTCTCTAATATTGATATATAAATCATGCCAAATTTTTTTCGTTATATTTTTTTATACGAAATATAAATTTCTCATAATTACCTTTAAATTATTGAAAAAAATAAATAAGAAAAAAGAAATAATAGAAAAGAATTTTGACTTTGAGATGTAAACAGTACTTTCTTAAAGGTAATTATATTTTTATGATATAATAAAGGCTCAAAATCTCCAATCAAAAACAGTAAAAATAATTATACTGAAAGATTTATTTATAATGAATGAAAGACATAAACTTTTATTTAAATGGTTATGACCTTTTGTATAATCATGACTTTTATGAATAATAATATATTTATATTCAAATAATTATGATCATTTATTATATGATAATTATTTTTGTTCAAACATAATTATTTAAAAAATAAATAAATTAATACAAAAATTAATTTTATTTATCAATAATTAAATATTTTATCTAATTTGATATGCATCACATTTTAAATTACTATAAGTAGCAGAGCCACGAGGAGGCACCAACGGCGCTGTCGTTGCTGGTGCTTCAACTTCCACTAAAGGATGAATTTCTGCTGCTCTGTCATAACTATTCTTTCCTGCTTTCTTTCTTCAAACAGGTTTCAAGTTTCTTCTCTAATAATATGAAAAAACGAAGGAATGTATTGGAAGCATCCTAGTGTATAACTGCAATTCGGCTTTCCTTTTCAACCTAGACATGTGTTTCTCTGGTATGTCTTGATTTGTCTTTCACAGGAGAACTTTTGGGTTCAAAAGTCAAACCTGCTTAAAATCTTCCGAGGCAACAAGGTGCTGGGTTTAGATTTATACATTTGTGTCAACATACTAAAGCAAAGATTGCAATTCACAATTCACATTTCAAAGATAACTAGTGAAGGCCTGATTACTGCATCAATTGCCAAGAACAGGAACAGTTTCTCTGATTGTTTGCATGGTTGGCTACCAAAGCACACCCGTTTGGCTGGAAATTGACCCAGCGATATTACAGCTGAGGCAACATGCTCGGTAACAGGATACAGCTATACCAGACAGATTGCATTTTCATTTCAAAACTACCTAAATCATCCTTAACAACTGTTGAGAATAAAAATTATGGCACAGAACAGAATTCAAATGGAATAACATAAAATAGAAGAAAGAAAGTACACCAAATCATGAGCCAAGAATTGCTAATCGGCAGACATCGAAGGAGATTTTCCCCCTACTTGTCAATCTAATGTACAAAGAACATTATGGGGAGCTACATTTCAATATGCTTTAATAAAAAGAATATATCCCTGAAGTTCAAATAGCATTAAAATTTTAATAAATCATTTGTGAAATTCCAAAGTAAACAACAAACCCTTTCTAACAAACTCTTCCGGTCATTTTTCAGCCTCAGCTTCGTAATCAAAACCTTCGAAGCGTTGATCCCCACATTAACAGTGAATCCATTGACTTTCTCACGAGTGATTCGCTCGATGTAGATGACCCATTTGCGACGGTAAGCTTGAACCACTTTTCATCGTCCTTTCAGACCGGCATGGACCGAAAGTTTTATTTTGAGGGGAGGTCGGAGGAAAGTGGCGCGCTCATCAGGATGCGAAATGGGCCTTGCGATTCTTGCGACGAGAAGAGGAGACGCGAGGATTGTACTTCATTTTTGCGTTTGTTTTTTTCAAGGTTTTTCGTTTTCTCTTCTCCAAGACGGCCGAAAGATGGAAACGAAGATTAGGGGTTGGAGACAAAAACTTACCAATCCCAAAAAAGAATCAACACATGAATACGAAGAAGAGAGATTGGTGGTGGCTGCCAGATCATTTTCTTCTACTACCCTTCAAAGATGGTTTTGGCCGAACCTCCAATGGTGGTTTCGAATCATCAGGGCTCCCCGAGATAGTGTATCCAACAACCAAATTTGATGCGTGTCAGATAACCCAAGCTCTATTGACTGGTCTGTTGGCGAGTCATGCTCTACCGGATCGATGGCCCTATCTTTGGATGAATCGATGAATCATCTAATCGAGACAATCTGCTCAAACATTTTTTTTTAATCTCCAACCCAAAATTTTCAAACCGAACATCCATGTTCTATCTCAGTAGTGTTTTTCAGTTTCACCCCCAAAATTTCAATTTTCATCCATAGCAAAATGACATTCCTTTCCAATTGGATAATGTCATCGTCAACCATGCCATAATCTTAAGCCTGATACCAAATGATATGAGCCAAAATGTTCAACAAAAAGCGATAGTAACACAGAAAGAAAACAAAGAATGAAAATAACAGAAAATAAAGGAAGAAGATAGAATAAGAGAAGAAACTTGGAGAGAAGATTCACTTTGGTATTTGCTTAATTGAATGACCTACACAAGTACCCCCCAGCTTCTCTTTATGCTGGAGCAACAATTATGACTACATTCTCAAGTTCTCGGACTTGCAGCACTCTCAGCCTTTCACTCTTTCTCCATTTTCCTAACAGCAACTAGCAATCTGGAATAAAAAAAGAGCATAAAGAGGTCCATACACGAAATAGCTTACCATAAATAAAACTAGGTTCATGATTTCAAACCCAATAAAACCTGGTCCACAACATTTAGCCTGTAATTAAAAAAAATATGCCATATAACAATATTCATTTCCCATCATATATTAACTCTACACTAATTGGCAAAAGAAATTAACATTTTCATACAAATAAAACCTCAATTAAATTGTAAATAATTAAAAAGGGCTCAAATGATTGCTATAAAAGATTATGGATTCATATGATACAACTAATTAAAATATAGAGCCTTACTCTGTATTTCAGCCAAAACAATTTTTCTCAAAATAGGAAAATGTGAACATTGTTGCATAATGCTAATACTACAGAAATGTTACAACAGTGAAATCAAACCTAGGTGGGTCTATAACCTATTGGTGTAAATTTTGCAGCATTAATATCATACAGCCGAGCAGTTGTTTTCACTTGCAGCAGATGATTCACCAAGAAACTCCGACCTTAATTGCATCAGCAGCCTGCCTAGATAATTCAGGCCTTCACCTTCACGGCCACCACCCCAGAAAAGATCATGAGGTGAAGCTTCAACTAGAACCGACCCAGCAGTCGACAGCAGCATGGAATTCAAGTGAGGATATATCGAGAACTTGCATTTCACTGCCCGGTACATAACATCAATCTTCACACTTTCCCAATCAGATCTTACCTGCATTGTATTGCACACACTAGCCTAAATCAGTTTCACCCTATGTTGAAGTCAAAAAGCAACAAATATAAATAGAATTCAAATCTAAGAAAACCGTAACCTCCAAGGCCCCAGATTTGTCTACATGTAAAGAAGCAAGCCTCTTGTATTGTGGAGTTCAGAGGTGGTCAGACACATGCAGCCTTAACCCTGCTATGCAGAGAGGTTGTTTCCATAACTCGGAGCCTTTTATTTAACACTAAACTATTCAATATGGTAGGTACAAGACAGACGAAAAATTAAATCAACTATTTTTCTTTGGAGTAACTATTAATTTTCTGAATTTTGCAGCTCCCAAATTTCTCTACCATCTGTCCAGAGGATGGCATCATTAATGGAAACAAATGAAAGTTAAAACACTGTTTTATGCTAAGAAAGAAAGCAATTTCTCGGCCCTCTAGTGGCTGTTAATTTGTGGAATACCATAACTACTAGATGTCCATAATATTGGATGCTGTACAGAAAGAATAGCATATTGGAGTATCCCCATGCAGAACAATTCAAACCACCCCACAAAATAAACACACAGGTACATGCTCATGAGGGCAAACACACATGTACACGGGGACAGAATAGACAAGACAACAGAAGAAAACTAACCTTAAGAAAAAAAATAGAAAAATAAGCCCAGATTAGCTAAATTAAAATTATATTCTGAACTATAAAGTTAGAATTCAGCAATGGAAAACCATCTTAGACGTAAACAGTTTGTTGTATTCAATACCAAATGATTTAGGGCCAATTTTCTCCGTAACCATAAATTCGCTTGGGTGTACAACAACAGTCATTAATCAAAAGCAAACTAGAACCTATAAGGGTCCATGTCATAATATTATAGAACAAAGTTCAAAGCTATATAGCAACCTGAAGAACTAAACAAACGAAACCAATCTAAATTCTCCAATTTTTACAGTTGAGCATACCAGATTAGGGTGTTGCCTCTGTATTAACCTGCCCATCCGTGCTGCTTCCTCTGGACTTTTTGCCAATTTTATCTTTCCTATGCAATCCTGTGCTACCGGATTGCTGACTCCAATGAACTTGTTTGCCTAAAAGAAAAAATATAAGAAAGCTTTATTGAATCTAAACAAAACAAGGTTAGCTGCAATGGAGTTCACAAATAAAGGGCATTCACCTGGTAATAATGCTCTACACTCGACCAAGTGGCATAATTACCATCTTCATCAGGCATTTGAATTGGATGAGGAGAAAAATTTGAGAAAGCACCATAAGGATCCCATGTTTTATAGAAGAATATGATACTCGACTCAAAAGGAGAAACAGTTGGGTCAATTGCAAAGGTTTCATCTTCTGAAGGAATAGTGGGTGTTAAATCCGGTATAGGTTGAAGAAATCCACTGATAAGCATATCGGGTCCAATCTGTAATTCAAATGCCAGAAGCAAAAAATGAAGCACAAACATGAACATAAAGACAAAAGGAGGCCCTGTACCAAAGAAGAGCCAAATGGTGCCCAAGGAAACTTCATAATAATAATAATAATAAAACCTAGCAATAATGTTTGAATTTTTTTTCCATTTAGTTTTAAATGCATTTGTGCATCTTCCAAAGAACAAAACAAACAAACAGGAAACCTAATTATAACATGGAATAATATGAAATGCATTTTGTGTCATCCCTGTGGCAAATGTCCTCACAGCATCTACAGAAATAAATAAGTAGATAAATAACAAGTGGAACATATTGATCTAGAAGAAGACTTCTCCAGACTTAGTTGAGGGAATAGACTAAAATTTCTTACTTGCCCCCACCTTGTCATATCTCACAATGCTCCAATGGAATATGACACCAATGTTTTCATCAAACTTAAAATCACTTTGTTGTTGTTGTCGTTGTTGCCATAAAGTTACTACTCAAGTTGTACCATTTACCAATAATTTTTTTTCTTTTTTTTTTAATTTCTCTTTTTCCCTTTTGTTAAGGCAATATGCCAACACATAATTATTGATCACCAACTATGAGAGCAGTTACATATTAGCCATGAATGAGACCAACAAACACAAGGACAATCTATAGTAACAACATATAGAGTAGGCAGGAATACATATTATGTTTCAAGATACAATTATTTGGTCAAGAAATTGAGAAGGGGAGCAGGATAGATGCAAATACTTAAAATAACACAAAGTGAACAGTAAACAAAACTTTCAATATGCCAACCTGCTCAAAGCAAACATCAATCACATCAAGGGCTTGTGACATCTCAACCATCCCAAGTTCAGCCACAGGAGAAGGAGCATTCTTCCCACCAATAATTTTAGGACCAACAAATGCAAAAACCTACAAGCAGAAGGAAAAAACAATAAATGAGTAAGTGGCTGAGTATCAGATGTAATAAATAAACAATAACTCATTGGCCAAAAAAATGGACGACTCTGCATCAGAAGCAATATTTGGAATTAAATCTCTATGCCCTAAGAGGTGATGGAATCTTTTATTCATAACACAGACAAAAGCTTGCAATAGAAAATTTGAACGGAGGGCATACACTGGCTAGTTGCAGCTTATAGCAGCAACCGGCACATAGATGAATGGAGGTAGAGAAGTTGGGGTGTAAGCTACTATTATTAGTAGAATGACCTTTTGGATTATTTCCAGGGTTAAAAAAAAGAACATTTAAAGTTGAAAAAAATAGAAATCATAATTGGTAATGTTTATATCAAAAAAATCTGAGAAAGAATTGAGGTACTATTGAAAGAGAAAGGCTGGGACTATATGAAATGCCAAATGAATGACTAATAATAATACCATGGTTTCAAATTATTCAAAGATCCAGTTCTCTTATGATTAGAAATGACAGCTGAGGAATTAGCATCTTATTATGACTTTGATTTCTATTCAGCTGAAGAACAAGCACACTTTAAAGTATATATATGTATATATATGTGTATATATATATATAGATATATATAATATATATTAAAAACCAAATGAGAGAAGATGACAATAACCTTGTGTATTACACCCGACGAAATAGCAGATGCAGCCAGAGTCCCTCCACATTCCCATAAAATGGAGAGGTACCCACGGTCATGAAAATATTCCATTACATCCCTGGGGTTTAAGATGTCAAACTCCACTACTTCAACTCCTTTGGATGCAAGAAATCTCTGGAAACTCCTCCTGGCTCCTCTTTGTGTTACAACTATCGTGGACACCTCAGATAGGTCCCAAAGGTTTGCTTCCTTAGGAAGATCAAGTGTTTGAGACATTACAATTCGAATTGGCATATGCCCACCTCCATGTCTTGCAGTCAGTCTTGGGTCTACATGAAAACATAAATTAGAAGATAATACAGCAACATTCTGAGCTTAATCAAGCACTTTATCACCCAAATGGGAAGAGGTAGGTATTGATGATACTTACCATCCCTACGCACAGTATTCCCTCCAACTATAATGGCATCACTTCTACCCCGCAATTCAAAAACTCGATCCCTAGACAACTTGCTGCTTATCCATGCTGCATGTCCACTGCTTGCAGCTATTTTTCCTATTACCTCCAACAAAGACTGTCAGAAGTGACTCATACGTTTTAACAGCTTGCTCAAAAGTAAGATGATATTCTGATTCACACTTCAGTAAAGTTAAAGAAAATATGGAAGGAAAAAATGAAAATTGAAATTGTTTAACGCATATTACTCACCATCAAGGGTCATGGCATACTTAAGAACAGAAAATGGAACACGAGAAGCAGCTCTATAAATCAAAGGTAAATTGACAAGGAGACATGCCTTTTGAGTTTCCTACAACACAAAGTTTAGATGAATTAAGGATTACATGGAAAGCACTGCAGATTTGGCAGGAAACATTACAATAAAAGAACAAGTCATAATATCGATAGAACATAATAAAAAAAAATCAGATGATGAACACAAATACAGCTGCATCAAAGTGTAATCTGTTCATGGAGCTCTGTAGTGCAGTTTGACTTCTCGATACTCTTTCTAGCAAAATGTTTCTCCTGTCACCTTCTCCTTATTCCAGCTAACATATTGTAATAGGCATTAAAGAGCATAATCTTCTGGACACTTGCTATGCCCTAACCAGCAATAGTTTGCTATCTAAGTTGATGCATTCTCAACATTAGGCATCATATTCCCTTTCTCCTCTAAAAATTGTTTTCTCAGATCAGATTAGCAAATTGGAGACCATTCAAGAAAGCGCATTCCTAATAAGTTTTAAAGGAAAGATTGTTGAATGTGCTTTGTATCAGCTATTCAATTTTAAACCTTTAAAAGAGAACAGCACTTTATATTCTTTAAACAGTTATAGAGCATGGTATCCTCCTTTTGGTATTCTCCATTTCGTCTAACAACACATTGATCAAGTTTGTACACAATCCAGAAGGAAATCATAACGATACATAACAGACACTTATGATCGAGAAATATCAGTTGTAAGCAGGGCTGCAGAAGACGGAAGGAGCTACAGGTGCATGTAATAAGTCTTCCAATTAAAAGGAACAGATACAGGTGTATGTAGCAGATGTAAGTCAAATTATAGTTAAAAGATCATATCTCAAACAAATGAAGAAATGGATTAAAATAGGGGGATAAAACACGGCAAAAATGTGTACATTACTATTTTAATAACGTGGTAAGGCAAAAGAACCAAAAACATATAAAGAAAGAAAACATGCCCCGCATGCAGTTTAAAAGTTATACCTCCACAATTTTACTTTGCATATCCTCTCCAAGAACATCAACCTGCAAACCTTGACTCCTTAATGCACGTATTGCATTGCCTCTCAGATGCCGCAGAGGATGCCTGATTCCAATAACAGCTCTTGTGATTCCTGCCTAATTTACAGAACATCAATGATGTGGCAACTTACAGAAAAATATGAAAATTAAATTTTTTTTTTTTAAATTGTCTGTCTAAGTGAAGGTCAGCAGAAAGAAACAGATAGAAAGTAAAAACTGATCATGAAATTCAGAAACAAAATATTAGTAACCAAGATAAAATATAAACAACACAGGATTAAAGCAACCAAGAGTTGAGGAATTTTAAATAAAGTCCCTAAGACCCACAAAGGCTCCAATTTACAAAATTATCTACCCTCTTACAAAAACCACCAATACTATTCCTAATTTAATCAGTCAATTGTGGCATCAGAAACAAGCATAACTGGTCCAGTATTCTGGAAAATGTAGTCTTTTGATTCTTTTCTTTATCTCTAATGAAGCTCCCCAGCATTCAACTTCACTTAATCTCTAACTGTAGTGGAGTTCATGATGCACCAAAGACCTAGATCTCTGTCCCTCCGGCATTAGGTTCTGGCAATCAGTCCTCTGTTTCCTTATACTTGAGGGTCAATTTAACCGTTGGTTTGGACCAAACACCTCTAAATGAAACATTAAACCCAGATAATGTAACTGTAAACAGATCCATCAAGCATTTGGCATATATCAAAATTACATGGTGCCTTAAATTTAAGTCCTTGTTATGCCAATAGACATAAAAATTTGATAGCATAAAACTAATTAAACAGATCCTTTTAAATGCAAAACCTAATTTCAAAAAAAATGAAAAAACAAATATTGCAATTCATTTACTAAAGAAACCCAAATTTACACACTGCTTCCCAGTAATAATTAATTAAACAAAATCAATAGGTAATTAAAACCTGAACAAGAGCAGAGACAGCAGTGTGATCCCCATGGCAATCTCCAGGCTCCATGTTAAGGTAAGCAGTGGCGCCTCTGCACAGTTCGCCGGAAGCCTCAACCGCCAACATCTCCGCCGGCTTTGTGCCCTGGGCATACAGGTAACCTTCCCCGGCCACCTCTCCTGACCTTGTGGCGATTACGCATCCAAAATTCGGGTGGGGAGAGGTGAACCCCGCCGACTTGTCGGATATCTCAGCGGCGCGTCGGATGTACGATAAGTCTTGGGCGTAGGAGTGGTTGTTGACGCTGGTGGCTTTGCACATTATCGGAGATGAGTAAGCTCCGACTGCAAATGAAAGCGCCATTGCTTTTCCTAGGTCTTCAAACTCTATCTCTCTCTCCCTCTCTTGTGCATTTGTGACTGATATGTAATTGCGATGCAATATGAGTAATCAGATTCAGTAGTAAATTTGTTGAATAGTAGTAAAATTTGACCCAAACAAGTGAAGATTGGTTTTTTTTTTTTTTTTTTGGGTTAAATATTAAAATTGCCCATAAATTATACATTCTCTATCAATTTATAGTCTAAAAAAATAAAATTAACATAATAATATCTAAATTTTTATTCTGTTATCACGTTATAATACGTGATTAATGTCATTAGTCAAATTTATCAAGGTGATAATAACATCTAATATAATATTAACAAGTGTTAAAAATTCAATCAATATTACACCATTAATTTCACGTCAACCAAAAAAAATCAAAATATTCTAAAAAGCTTTTCAAAATTTTAAAAGTTCTAAAAAAACTTTAAAAATTCTAAAAAATTCATAAAAAATTCTAAAATATTTCTAAAAATTTTAAAATATTTCACATTTCAAAAAAAAATCTCAAAAAACATTAAAAAAATTTTTAAAACTAAAAAGGTTTTAAATTTTCAAAAAATTTTAAATATTTTCTAAAAAATTCTAAAAATATTTTAAAATTTTAAAATTTTCAAATTTTCTAAAATTTTAAAAATTTTTAGAATTTATAAAATTAAAAAATATGAAATATTTTTATAAATTAAAAAATGCTGAAATTTTAAGAAAAATTCAAAAAAAATGAAAATTTATAAAAAAAATTTAAATTTTCTGGAAGTTAAAAAAATTAAAAAAAAACTTAAAAAATCTAAAATTTTGAAAATATAAAAATTTTTGAAAATTTCTAAAAAGTTTTTTAAGAAATTCTAAAACTTTCTAAAATTTTTGTACGAATTAAATAATTTGAAAAATCTAAAACATTCTTAAAAATTAAAAAATGAAAAAAAAAACTAAAATTTTAATAGAAATCCAAAAAATTTCAAAAAATTGAAAATAAAAAATATATAAAATTTAAAATTCAAAGATTCAAAAAATATGAAAAATTTTTAGAATTTTTTAATTTTTTAAAAAATTTTTAAAATTTTCATATAATTTTAGATTTTTTTATTTTAAATATTTTAAGTTTTGTGAATTTTTTAAATTTTTTTAAAAAATATTCTTATTAAAATCTTCAATTTTTTGTATTTTTCATTTTTTTTGGATTTTTATAAAATTTTGATATTTTTTAAAAAATTTTAAATTTTTCTTAAATTTTTAGAATTTTTAAAAATTTTGTAGAACTTTTTTAGATTTTTAATTTTTTTGAATTTTAAAAAAATTTTAATTATTTTAAATTTTTAAAATTTTGAAATATTTTTGAAAATTTAGGTTGTACAACTCAGTTTCACTCCCACTATAATCACCCTTCTTGTTGGTTGTAGCAGCCTTAGCTTTTTCTTCTCTTACAATCCTATTTTTTTTTATTTCATTCAACAACCCTCTTAAAAGCGTCAATCTCTAGTGAAACATCATCAACCTAAAACATTTATTCTTCTTTTTCTGTCTAAACTGATTATATTATACCCTTATTTCCCTTATCTTATCATCCTCATCATCAAACACCAATTTAACCTCTACAAGCTCTTCCTCATGATGACTATCTAATTCATCCTTATAGCCTCATCTCTGTCAACATCATTTTTTAAGTCACATTACTTGTTGAACCACACTCTCTTAAAGCATCATTTACAATACTACTAATAGGTCCACCTAGATTTGATGCGTTATCTTTCACATTAATTACAACATTGCATATTTGGGTCATTTGACAAATTAGGATCATTTGAGTCATGTGGCGAATTTGTAGGTACATGGATAAATTCTACTATTTTTGGTATAAAAACTTTATGCTCCAAATAAATATGTAATTATTTGACATTGATAATGTAGTTTGGTATTAGATATGTTATCGTAAAACTATTTTTTAACTTATAATTAGGTTCAACATAAAAAAAAATATTTTATAATAACATAATTAAGAGTATAATTGAATTGAATCAATAAAACAAAATATTCGAGTCAAGCTCGACTTGAAAATTAAAATTTGAAACTCATCTCAAGTTTGACCGATTTATATTTTTCAAATTCGAATTCTATTCGAGATAAAATTCAAGTCAAATTTGAATTTGCTCAATTAAACTTGAATCATAATAAAAAAAATTTTCAAATATAAGATTCATTGGTTAGATTTATTCGAACAATAATTTATTAACAAATTAAATACAAATAATCAAATCTAAAAAACACAAAACAAAAAACATTTTGAGAAATGACTTTTAAGTATACATTATTAAAGAAAGAATAACGAAACCATCAAATTTGAAATTTCAACGAGCCTGTGGGAATACTCACTTTTCTCAATAATAATTAATTTTGATTAATAAAAACAAATTTACAAAAGTTATTAACCCAAATTCTACTTTGCAGCTTTGGCATGAAGGTCCTACCAAAAACGAAAGATCACCTCGGCCTGAGAACCATAAGAATTATTGCACCTGTAATTTACTCCAATTTTTGGAGACCTGCACAAAGAATAAATTGTTCTACGCATGGTTAATATTCGGCATTACTCCCTGAATCAATTATGTGGAATTTCAATGTTGTTCGAACTCCTTTAAGGAAATGAAGTTTCAAAAATAAGGCTTTAAAATAAAAAGTTGATGTCATAGAAGGTCAAAAGCATATGCCAAAGTAAGGATGTTGGTAGGAATGACTGCTCTGTCAAGAATCAAGATGGGATTGAGATTCGGGAGAGAGAGAGAGAGAGAAAGGGGGTCGCTGCTGTAAATAAGATAAAAAAGAACACGAGAGATTGAGAAAGTTGATAAGGTTTTTAATTTAGGTATACGTATATTAAGGCTAAAATCGTAATTTTTTATTAAAATAATAAAAATATATATTAAAATAAAAAAACTTAAATGATTTACAGCAACTAATATCAAACAAACCAATAATAAAAAAAAAAAAAAACTGTAAACCCTAAATCAAATAAACCAAATAAATATCACCCTAAACTCAAATACATGTAACATAGATTCTTTATTGGATTTATAGGAACCAACCTGAAGATGACAAAAAAGGCAAATATTTTGCCTTAATTTTGCATCGATTCAATGTTCAGTGAACTCTAATCCCACAATTTATTTTCACTTTCAGGTCAGAATCATCAATCAAGCAATATCTCATCAAACAACATTCAAACCCCAACTTAGATTTAAGTTTTTTTTTTCACTCTGTTTCTTTAGATAGTTTTAAAGTTATAATTGAACATTATTATGATAAAGGAATTTAAAATGATAAAACAAAATAAAACCAACACGTCCTTTTTTTCATATCTTTAATTAATGATGTACACTTTTTATGACAAATGGTGGTATGTAATTGGTTATAAAACATAAGAAAAAATGATTTAATCTCCTTTTAAATATATTGAAATCAATAAATGTGTTAAACTTTTTTGATTTTATAGTGTGTAAATAAATTTCTCCACGACTTTTATGATAATATGTCAATATAAGCCTACCAAATTTATTTCACCAGCTGAATTTCAAGAAATTTCTTAAGATCAAATTTGGGTTGTGGATTAAATACAATTCATTTGTTTCCAAGTAAATCCATTTTCATCACTCCTATCTATAAGGTTTTACTTGACAGGAAGAATAAAAAAAAGAATTAAAAATAAAAAAGAAAGAATGGAAAAGGTTAAGAACAAAAAACCATTATTAATCTAATAATTAAGCTACAAAATAAAAAGAAAAATGGTTATTAATTTTAACCATTGTATTAATAAATTTTTTATCTTCGTCTCTTTCCGTCCTTTTAAGAAAGCAAAACCTCGTTTCCATCTTTCTTGTCAAGTAAAGCATATACGATGAGTGTCTACCAGTTTGGGCAGCTACTATCGAGGTTGAACTTTGGAAGCTACACCAGAAAATGAAAGAAAGGGACAAATGTAATTTGGGTAAATGCTTTTGGGTTTAGCCATCAAGATTCATTCATGACCAAGTGAAGAATCAAAACATGATTATGATTGTAAATTCAGATGAGTAATCTTCTTATTTTGCCACAATTTGTAAAGACCGGATATAGTAGAACAGCTAGCAAGCTTCAACTCCATTCCAAAGAAATTTAAAAACTTCCACCATACTTATTTATTATATGTTGACACATATCTTCCCATTCATTAAAACCACATTAACCGGGTACTCCATTCCGAAGTTCTAAAAGCATACTCCTAAATCACCCATAGCAATTAGGAAGGTACTGAATTCAACCAAAAGCACATGCTCAAGAGGCATCTACCATAATGATAGTACGAAAGCAACATTGTTTATTTAAAATATTAATCCATCAATTTTAGCAGCACATGCTTCAACAGGCACACCAAATGTCAAACGATCTGCCAATTATGAGTTGATTGTCTCTCCAACAGATAGCTATTAAAACAACAATTGAACAAGTACAAGGTTGATCACCTTTTTTTTCTTGGAAGGTGATCACACACTAGTACTGTTGGCGCACTTACTCCTCTTCCTCCGCTTCCTCCAGCCAATTCACAAAGGGCTCCAGTGCCTTCACAAAGGTTTGCCTGCCAATAATTTCCAGTACATTCTTAAAGATCGTATAGAAGCAAAAGGAATGTAACATGGGTGAGGAAAAGAAAAGTCAATAGGAAAAAAAAAAGGTACAATAAGCTAGCGTTCAAGAATGGGAAAAGGACAGTAATACAAATAGTTATTTACTTGGTTAATATCCCCCCAACTCTCACACACATACAAACACAGATGCAGCAGACTCCTAAACAACATTTATAGCATTAAAAAAAAAAGAAGACAAAAAGGTGAGTTATTGCCTTTCATGACCTCAAAAAGTGGGTTGGATGACACAGAAATTGGCCTAGCCTTCATTTTTACATAAAAATAGTGAACAAAAGAAAACTACTGAACCTTCACCTCAACTAAAACATTGAGAATTCAGTGCTCTGATTCGTTACTATATTTCCTACCAGTCACTCAAGTGCTAAACAGAGCCTATGATGATACACCACACTTCTCAATGATAT